CTCTAGCTTTGCTCCCTATTGTGAACTCCTGCTCTATGCCTGCTTGCTCATTGTGCTGATTACACCCCACTTTGGCTATGGGGGTGTATCACTACAGAAGTTTTCACGCCTGGCGCACTCTTGCGCCCTGGCGGCTCCGAGATCTGGACCACATCATAGCCACGCACTTGCACAATCTGCCTCGAAGCCGCTCCAAGCCATCAGCCATTCCCACTACTAGGACCGGGAACTAACCGGTACCCCAAGCTCCACAAAGTTTACAGCGACTTCCTCGTAGTCGGCCTTTCCGGGCTCAACAACGAAGGGTACACGCTCACCTTCATCATTGCAGAAACCCGTTACGCGTGGATTGCAAACGTGCAGTTCTGGAGCAGTGCGTACGAGTTTTCTACTTCTGGCTCGCTCGCGCACAATGTCAATTAGGGAAGAAGTTACAGATCTAGCAAAATGACGGCGCAAAATAGAATCGAAGTAAGGAAATCCAGGACTACCTGGGGTAGAGGAGGATATCGCATCACATTTCACTCCCCTAAGCGCATCCGCAGCAACGCGTCGCCAAGCGCACCAACCGCACGTTCATGACGAAGGTGCGCGCATTGTTGGAACAGTCAAGGCTCCTCGCCACCTACTGGCCGTACGCGATGCACCACGCCGTGTGGGTGCACAACTTACTCTCCACCACAACCATCCCTGACAACATATCGCCGCACGTAAAGTTTGATCATCCTTGTCCTCCTCAGTAACAAAGTAACGCACACATGCGACGCCATCTTCTTCGAGCGACTGCTCAGTACCGCGCGGACGAGCATGCGGGCGCAAACTAGGTTTACGCAAATGACGGGCGGAGCTATGCTACCCCCAAAGACGAAGGTGATGCGGCTATCTTGGACCTGAACAACACCAGCAATTAGAATTGCGAACAAACCGTAGCACGATCAGAATTGCAAACTAGCCAGGATCGTCAACCTCACCAAACACATCACACTGCGGTACTTCTTTGTGGAGGACAAAGTTGATAAATACAGGGTCGATCTGACCTATTGCCCAACTGGTGACATGGCAGCCAACTTTCTTACGAAGTGATTGCTCCGTCAACAGTATCAGCACTATTCTGAACTGAGCGAAGTAGTTAAGCGGGTTAAGACTTGCTATGACCAGGAATGAAGGGGGGTGTTACTCTCAAATGCTTATATCTTCTAGATATTGTTAATCATTTTGGGCTATAGTAAGTTGCCCTCTAAAGGGTACAACACTTTCTAGGTCGACGCTTGTATCTCCTTGTTTTCCCTTAGCACAATTCTTTTGACACTTCCTAGCTAATTGTAAGATGGTATTAGAGCGGGTAATTATTCCTACCTCCCACACTTCTGCTCCCTCCCTTAGATGCTCCCGAGGCGCCCGTCCCTTATGCTCCGCTTCGTCGTGTGTATGACGGCCCCCGCATGCCTCTTTTAAGTCGCATTCAAGGCCCTCCCAACCCTCCTCGCGGGCCCTCATTTTTTATCTTTCCCACGCGCTTAGGCAGGCCGTCGCGGCAGCTGCAATAGAGCGCCACTGCATGCCATGCCCATGGGCCCCTTTTAGCTGTGATTAACAGCCCCTCGTAGGCCCCTTTTACTGACGTTTCATACGCCTCCGCGGGCCGCGTTTGTCATGCCCCTTGGCATACCGACTCCTCGCACGTACCATGAGGCAGTGTCAGTGGAGTGGGCCTCTCAGTGGAACGCGGCCATGGACTCAGAGTCGGCTTCTTGGAGATCCAAAGGCACCTACGTCGGCGCAGGCAAACGTTGTCGATGGCATGTGGCTCTTCAAGGGGAAGCGGCCGCCTAGATCACCGCCTGTGTTCAAGACGTGTTACGTGGCTAGGGGCTTCAGTCAGCGTGAGGGAGTTGATTTCTTCCAGGCCTTCGCCCCGACCCCGAACATGACGACTCTCTAGGTGTTACTTCATGTAGCTGCACAGCGAGACCACGAGCTGCACTCTCTCGACTTCTCCACTTCGTTTCTCCAGGGCCGCCTACACGAGGAGATCTGGTTGCGACCTCCTCCTGGTTTCACTGACACCTTCCCTCCTGGGACCCAGTGGAGCCTGAGGCGACTGTCAAACACATATATGTGTTATTATTATGTAGGCTATATTGGGTTAGCCTTTAGGGGGTACACAAAGTTAGGGTTTCCTACTTGTACTCCAACTTTCATAGTTCAATCACTTCTTGTTCGTAACATGGAATCAGAGCAGGTCCTCTGCTAGGACCGATTCCTAGGGCCCACCACTACTGCTATCTACTCGCGCCCTCGTGCGCCTTACTGTCGGAGCGCCCTCGAGCGCTTCCCCCCCTAGTGCCTTCGTGCGCCCTGTTTCTCGCGGCCCCCTAAGGCCCCACGACCCGCACGCCGCCCCTTAGAGGCCCAGTCGACCCCGCGCGCCACCCCTTAATGGCCCCGTCGACCGCCTGAGCCGCCCCTTAGCAGCCCCACTGGCCTCGTCGACCCCGCGCGTCGCCCCCCTTAGCGGCCCCGCTGGCCCCGTCGACCCCGCGCGTCGCCCCCCTTAGAGGCCCGTGCCGGCCCCGTCGACCTCACTAGCCGCCCCTTAGCGGCCCCGCTGGCCCCGTCGACCCCACGCGTCCCACCCTAAGACGCCCCAACCGGCCCCGTCAACCCCACGAGCCGCTCTTTAGCGGCCCTACTGGCCCCGTCGACCCCTCACAAGCCACCCCTTAGCGGCCCCAGCTGGCCCCGTCGACCCACACGCCGCCCCTTAGCGGCCCCAGCTGGCCCCGTCGACCCACACGCCGCCCCTTAGCGGCCCCGCTGGCCCCGTCGACTCACACGCCGCCCCTTAGCGGCCCCACTGGCCCCGTCGACCCCGCCCCTTAGCACCCCACCGCGACACCCACGGCCCCGCCGGAACGAGCCGCTCGACCCGAGCAGCCCGAACTGAGCCGCCCAGCCTGAACCGAGCCGCCCGACCCGAGCCGCCCAGCCCGAACCGAGCCGCGCCACCCGAACCCAGCCGAGCCGCCCTACCCGAGCCGAGCCGCCCTACCTGAATCGAACCGTGCCTCTTGTACTGGACCGAGCCGCCCTACCTGAGTCGTACTGCCTACTGTCTTGAGGCTGCACCTACTGCTACTGCTGTTACTCTACTGCTACTCCTACTACTGCTATGGCTAGCCCTCTTGTGCTAGCTTTCGATGCTGAGGGCCGCCCAGTGAAGTTCGATACCTGGCTAGATGACCTACACCTCTTCCTACAGCTCATTGCCAAGGAGGACATCTCACTGTACGATCACGCCCTAGGCCATGCTACTGCTCCTGCTGCTACTGCTGACAGCACTGCCCGCTCATAGCGGTAGACTCGTAATGCCCACGCTCGCTTCGCTATTCGCAACCCCCTGCCGATAGACGAGCGCGAGCACTTTGGCCAGCACAAGATTGCACAGGCACTGTACACCGCTGTCGTTGCCCGCTACTCCTCACCTGCCTTTGCCGCACTAGGCCGTCTCTCCCTCCCCTACCTGTTTCCCGACCTGGCCTGGTTCCACACAGTCACTAACCTCATCACGCACCTCCGTACTAGTGAGGCCCGCTTCCATGCCGCCATGCCCGATGAGTTTCTTGCCACGCACCCCCCCCCCCCCCCCCCCCCCACTCTAGCTCACTCTCTACCACCTAGTCACCCGCCTCCCTGACCCTCTACGTGCTGTCACGGATCACTTCCTAGCTCGCTGCCCCACTGAGCTCACCATTGCCCTCCTCGAGAAGGAACTGTCAGAACATATATATATAGCTTATACTATTGTGTAGGCTGTAGTGGGGTATCCCATAGGGGGTACAACCCAGTTAGGGTTTCCTATTTGTACTCACTTCATTCATAGTTCATTTCATTCTCGTTCTATTCTCAACATGGTATCGAGCAGGTTCCCTCGTGGGAACTGTGCTTAGGGCCCACCACCTTCAAAACTTTTTTCTGCCCAGAGCGCGCTCCGGGCCCCCGCTCTCTCTTTTTTGGCCTGCCCTGCGGCCCCCTAGACGCCCGCGCGAGCCGCCCTTTGCCGCCCGCGCACCGCCCGTCTCGGCACCTAGCCGCCCGCGCCCGCCTGTTCAGGCACCTAGCCGCCCGCGAGCCGCCCGTCCCGGCCCTTAGCCGCCCACGCGCCGCCCGTTAGGGCTCCTAGCCGCTCGCGTGCCGCCCGTTCAGGCCCCTAGCCGCCAGCGCGCCCGCCCGTTCAGGCCCCTAGCCGCCAGCGCGCCCGCCCGTTCAGGCCCCTAGCCGCCAGCGAGCCGCCCTTCCAAGCCCCTAGCCACCCACGCGCCGCTTGTTCAAGCCCCTAGCCACGCAAGCGCCGCCCGTTCAGGCCCACAGCCGCCCGTTCAGGCCCATAGCCGCCCGCGCGCCGCCCGTCACGGCCCCTCGCCGCCTACGCACCGCCCGTCCCGGCCCCTAGCAACCCACGCGCGCCCGACCCGGCCCTTAGCCGCCCTAGAGCGCCCGTCCCGGCCCCTAGCCACCTACGCGCGCCCGTCCTAGCCCCTAGCCGCCCACGCAAGCCCGTCCCAGCCCGTAGCCGCCCTCGAGCGCCCGTCCTAGCCCCTAGCCACCCACGCGCGCCCGTCCCGGCCTCTCACCGCCCGCGCGCCGCCCGACCCGGTCCCGAGCCGCCCTTCTCCAGCTCGACACGCACCCGGCCCCTAGCCACCCACGAGCGCTACTTCCTGTTGGTGGTTGACGACTACTCGCGTTACACCACAGTCCTCCCCTTGCGCAGCAAGGGTGCTGACACTGAGGTGCTGATCGACTGGATCCGCGAGGCTCGTCTCCAGCTCAGGAGGAGCTTCGGCTCGGACTTTCCTGTTCTGCGTCTGCACTTTGACAGAGGCGGGGAGTTCTCCTCTCGTCTTCTGCGAGACTACTGTCGTGCACGGGGGATCCGCCAGACCTTCACGCTTCCGGACTCTCCACAGCAAAATGGGATTGCTGAGCGCCGCATTGGCATGGTCATGGATGTCGCTCGTACGTCCATGATGCATGCGGCTGCCCCCCATTTTCTGTGGCCGTTTGCGGTCCGGTACACGGCGCATCAGCTCAACCTTCACCCCACGGTCTCTCGGCCTGCGATGTCCCCAGTCTTGCTGTGGACGGGGAAGGTTGGCGATGCGTCTGCGTTCTGTGTCTGGGGATCTCGGGCGTTTGTCCGCGACTTGTCTGCGGACAAGCTGTCCCCTCGTGCTGCCCCCTGTGTCTTCCTTGGCTTCCCCCCTGACGCTCCTGGGTGGCAGTTCTACCACCCCTCCTCTTGTCGTGTTCTGTCCTCCCAGGACGTCACGTTCGATGAGTCAGTCCCCTTCTACCGCCTCTTCCCCTACCGCACTCCTTCCCTTCCCCCCCCGCCGGACTTCCTTGTGCCGGTTCCCCCCCCGGTAGACCCCCTCCCCCCTCAGTTTCCTGCCCCTGCAGGTGTGTCCTAGGTAGACGCAGTTGACCCGGTCGAGGTTACTGGTGACTCTGGTGCTGCTGCGGGTGCTGAGCCTGGGGGTGCTGCCTTTGGGGGTGCTGTGCCCGGGGGTGCCGAGCCTGGGGGTGCTACTGGGGAGGGTGCTGAGCCTGGGGGTGCTGAGCCGGGGGGTACTGTGCCTGGAGTTGCTGAGCTAGGGGGTGCTGAGTCTGGGGGTGCTGAGTCTGGAGCTGCTGAGCCTGGGGGTGCTGGGTCTAGAGCTGCAGGGCCTGGGGTTACTACGTCTGGAGCTGCTGAGACTGGGGGTGCTGCGTCTGGGGCTGCTGAGCCTAGGGTTTCTCCTGGTGCTGCGTCTCGGCGGGAGCCACTCTCTCCATAGGAGCTGCGCGAGTGGTTTGCTTGCCGCGGGAGGCGTACTGCTGGAGCCGGAGCTTCTTCGACCGTCGAGGATGCTGGTGCCGCCGGTCACGGAGCTGCTGGGCCTCCGGGTCCTACTGGAGCTGGAGCTGCTGGAGGTGTTGGTGCTGAGACTACAGCTGTCTGTCCTGGCGGTGGTTCTGCTACTGGTGCTGCTGGAGGTCCTGCCGCTGAGGGTGTTGGTGCTGTCCCTGCTGAGCCTGGAGCTGCCGCGCGGCCTCGGCCGTACTTCGTTCCGCTCCTGCAGCAGGTTCTTGGTCTTTCTCCTCCGGTAGAGTGTCCACAGCCTGTCCAGTCGCAGTCACTGTCGGAGCCTTCCTCCCCACTGCCTGCTCCCTCTCCTTACACTGGTCCTACTGGAGGTCTTGCTGAGCGTCGTAAGCCTGCGTCTCGTCCCGCGTCGCCTGTTCGTGCTGCTCGCGCTAGTGGTCGCGGTTCGCGTCAGTGCCTCCTCCTGTCCCTGGCACGCACCGGATGTCTCTGCGTCCGTCCACTGCTCCTCTGCGTGCTCCTTTGCCTTCTCCTCCTGAGTCCTCTCTTCCTGCATTGCCGAACCTGAGTCGGACTCCCTTCGTGCTGCCAGTCCTACTGTCACGCGTCTGCTTGCTACTGTCATCACTGACCCCTCTTTTCAGTCCATTGCTGCGTCTGCTCTTGTCGCTGAGCTCGTCGACTTTGCTGCTCGCTGTCGTCTAGACTACGCTCCCAGTCTTGTTGCTGAGTCTGCGTCTGTCTGTCCTCCGTCCGTCGGGGGTGAGTGTGCTCTTGGCACGGACGTCCTAGAGGACAGGCAGGAGGAGTTACAGTGTCTGGCTGCTGCTTCACCTCATCTCGCGTCTGTACTGCTTGCTCCTGAGGGAGACCCGGATGCACTAGACATCCCGATTCCGCGCTCTTACGCGGAGGCCGTAGAGGGTCCCTACTCCTCTCAGTGGCAGGCAGCTATGGATGCAGAGATGGCTTCCTGGAAGTCCACAGGCTCCTACGTTGACGCGGTTCCCCCTCCTGGGGCGAACATCGTCAGTGGCATGTGGATCTTCAGGGTGAAGCGGCCACAGGGCTCTCCACCTGCCTTCAAGGCGCGGTACGTTGCTCGTGGCTTCAGTCAGCGGCAGGGAGTTGACTACTTTCAGACCTTCTCTCCCACCCCGAAGATGACCACTCTTCGGGTGCTGCTGCACATAGCCGCTCAGCGCGACTACGAACTTCACTCTCTCGACTTCAGCACAGCTTTCTTGCAAGGCAGTGTGCACGAGGAGATCTGGCTGCGCTGTCCACCTGGCTTCACTGGGACTTTCCCTCCGGGCACCCAGTGGAGCCTCCGACGGCCAGTCTACGGTCTCCGCCAGGCACCGCGTGAGTGGCACGACACACTGAGGACTACGCTTGCGGCTCTTGGGTTTGCTCCTTCTACTGCTGACACGTCGCTGTTTCTGCGCACCGACACTTTACTGCCGCCGTTCTACATCCTCCTGTACGTCGACGACTTGGTCTTTGCCACAACGGACACTGCTGGACTCGCCTACGTGAAGTCAGAGCTGCTGAAGAGACACACATGCACAGACCTGGGTGAACTGCGCAGCTACCTTGGCTTGCACATCACTCGGGACAGAGCACGCCGCACCATCACCTTGACTCAGTCACACATGGTGCAGCAGGTCCTTCAGCGCTTCGGCTTCACGTACTCCTCGCCTGAGGCCACTCCTCTGTCTACCCGCCACTCGCTCTCAGCTCTGCCTTCGGATGAGTCCGTAGAGTCGAGTGGCCCGTACCCAGAGCTTGTTGGCTGCCTCATGTACCTGATGACCTGCACACGACCTGACCTTGCATACCCTCTGAGCATTCTTGCACGCTATGTTGCTCCTGGGAGACACCGACCAAAGCACATGGCTGCAGCGAAGAGGGTATTGCGCTACCTGTGCAGTACGTCGGGCATGGGGCTAGTGCTTGGAGGGCGGAGTCCAGTGGTCCTTACAGGTCACGCGGACGCTTCTTGGGCAAACGACCAGGCTACGCAGCGGTCGTCACAGGGTTACACCTTCAGTCTTGGTTCCGGCTCTGTCTCGTGGCGGGCTACTCGTTCGTCTTCGGTTCTCAGCTCCAGTTGTGAGGTTGAGATCTACGCAGGGGCCATGGCTGCAAAGGAGCTTCGCTGGCTCACCTACCTGCTGACTGACCTTGGAGAGCCGCCTCGTTCTCCTCCAGTGCTGTACGTAGACAACAAAGCCATGCTGGCCTTGTGTCGAGAGCAGCGTCTGGAGCACAGAACGAAGCACATTGCTCTTCGCTACTTCCTTGCTCGTGAGCTACAGCAGCGTGGACAGTTGCGGCTTGCGTACGTGGCCTCTGAGGCCAACACTGCTGATGTGTTCACCAAGGCACTTGCGCCTTGTGAACATCAGCGCTTCTGCACCCAGCTGGGTCTTGTGTCTGTCTTGCCTCACTTGCTCTCCTCTTGACTTTACTTGTACTGTGATATATATATACCTGCTCCTGCTTGTCTAGCTTTATATATATATGTCTGTACTCTTGCATGTGAATTGGCCTTTGGCCTTGCTCTTGTGCTCGGACTGTGTGGTGACTTTGTGATCCACCCCGAGCTTTGCTTTGTCTTGCTTGACTGGTCTTGTGACCCCTTGTTCTCCCCCACTTTGCCTATGGGGGTGTGTCAGAACATATATATATATAGCTTATACTATTGTGTAGGCTGTAGTGGGGTATCCCATAGGGGGTACAACCCAGTTAGGGTTTCCTATTTGTACTCACTTCATTCATAGTTCATTTCATTCTCGTTCTATTCTCAACAGGAACTGCTTGCATCTGAGGCTAGCATATTCGCTGTAGGTGCCTCTCGTGGAGACCCCCGCACCTCTTTCTTCGAGGGGTGTTCCCCTTTCCCCCTTCTTCCCACTGTAGCCTCTGCTTCTGTTGTCGACCTCCTTGGTGCTGAGAAGGTCGGAACTGCGTCTACTTCGAGCTGGCGCCACAGCGGCAAGGGCAAAGGGGGCAAGGGAGGCGGAGGTGACGGCGGGGGAGGCGGTGGTGGGGGTGGTGGCAGCGGTGGGGGTGGTGGTGGGATTGGTGGGGCTAGTGGCAGCGGTGGAGGTGGTGGCGGCAACGGCGGGGGCGGTGGCAGAGGCGGGGGTGGTGGTGGGGGCGGCGGTGGACGCAGCGGCGGCAGGGGAGGAGGTGGTCGAGGCGGTGGTGGCGGTAGTGGTGGTCGTGGAGGCACTGGCGGTGGCTAGAGCCCACAACACTCTCCGTCGCCTAAGGAGCTCCGTGAGTGGTACACTCGGCACGGGGGGGGGGGGGTGGCCTTAGCTGCATGTACGTCATCCGCACTGGTGATCGCACTGGTCAGACGTGTGTTAGGGCGCACCCCACGCAGCGCTGCTTCCCACGCCTTGATGACGCTTGGCGTACTCTGTTCTCTGACGCCACTGAGCTGCCCTGCTGGGCTGATCTGATGAAGGAAAACATTGATATCTTTGCTCTAGACTTTGATGCTATTCTTTCTGCCATGTATGTGATGTCTATTAGTGGAGAGGGTGCCCAGTACCTGAATGTTCTGCCCGACCCGGGCATTCAACCCGGTGAGGCTACCGCTCTAGGTGCTAGAGTGTCTGCTACCCCATGTGCTCGTGAGGCTGCTGCTCTAGGTGCTGGTGCATCTGCGTCCGCTGTTACTGAGTCGACTGAGGCACTGCACACCTTTAGACTAGACTCAGGTGCCTCCCGCTGTTTCTTTCGTGACCGCACGGCTCTTGAGCAGCTTGCTCGGCCCGTTGCAGTCTCTCTCGCTGACTCCTTTGGGGGTCTATCAGATTTGTATGACATAGCTGTTGTAGGCTATAGTGGGGTAGCACAAATGGGGTACCGCTTTCTAGGGTTGTATTTGTACCCAACTTTCCCTTAGTCATTTCATTCTTGTTCTAACTTTCTTATGGTATCGAGCAGGTTCCCTAGTGGGAACTCTGCCTAGGGCCCACCACATTGATTTTTTTTTTTTCCTGCCCGGAACACGCTCCGCCTGAGTCGCGCTCCTCTCTTTCATCTCGTCGAGCCGCCCTAGCGGCCCCGTCGCCCTAGCAGCCCCATCGCCCTAGCGGCCTCGTCACCTAGCCCTGCGGCCCCGGCGCCCCCCTGTCCCGGCCCCGCCGCCCTTCACTGCGGCCCCGCCGCCCTTCATTGCGGCCCCGCCGCCCTTCGCTGCGGCCTCGCCGCTCTTCGCTGCGGCCCCACAGCCCTTCACTACGGCCCCGCCGCCCTTCTCTGCGGCCCCGCCGCCCTTCGCTGCGGCCCCGCCGCCCCTCTCGCTGCGGCCCCACCGCTAACCTTGCGGGCCCGCCACCCTTCGCTGCAGCCCCGCCGCACCTCTCGCTGCGGCCCCACCGCCTACCTTGCGGCCCCGCCGATGCTCACACAGGCAGGCACCTAGCCACGTTTACGCGTCGGCCAGGGTCGAGCCTGTACACACTGACCACTGAGTCTCCTCCTGTCCCTGCGTCTGGCCAGGTAGCTGCGCCGGGTCAGGTGTTTGCTGCAGCGTCCAGGTCTGGTCCTGAGTCTGCCCCCTGCTCGTGTCGCCTCCTGTCTCACGAGAATCTCCTGTGGCACCACCGTATTGGTCACCCCTCCCTGCCTCGTCTCCGAGGCATGGCTTCCCGTGTCCTTTGTCTCTCGTCTTCCCCGGTCCCTCCCTCCCCTTCCTCCGGGGCCTGGTCCTTCCTGGGTCCCCTGTGTCGAGAGGCGGTTCTGGGCTGCCCCTCACTCCTCTAAGTTTCCATCGACAGAGGCCCCGCTGCAGACGATTCACATGGACGTGTGGGGCCCGGCCCGCGTCCGTGGACAGGGTCACGAGCGCTACTTCCTGCTGGTGGTTGACGACTACTCGCGTTACACCACGGTCTTTCCCTTGCGCAGCAAGGGCGATGTCACTGAGGTGTTGATCGACTGGATGTGTACAGCTTGTCTCCAGCTCAGGAGGAGCTTCGGCTCGGACTTTCCTGTTCTGCGTCTGCACTCTGACCGAGGCGAAGAGTTCTCCTCTGGCCTTCTGTGAGCCTACTGTTGTGCACGAGGCATCCGCCAGACCTTCACGCTTCTGGACTCTCCACAGAAAAATGGGATTGCTAAGCGCCGCATTGGCATGGTCATGGAGGTCGCTCATACGTCCATGATGCATGCCCAATTTCTGTGGCCGTTTGCGGTTCGGTACGCCGCGCATCAGATCAACCTTCACCCCAGGGTCTCCATGCCGGAGACCTCCCCAGCTTTCCTGTGGACGGGGAAGGTAGGCGATGCATCTGCGTTCCGTGTCTGGGGATCTCGAGCGTTTGTCCGCGACTTTTCTGCGGACAAGCTGTCCCCTCGTGCTGCTCCTTGTGTCTTCCTTGGCTTCCCCCCTGATGCGCCAGGGTGGCAGTTCTACCACCCCTCCTCTCGTCGTGTTCTTTCCTCCCAGGACGTCACGTTCGACGAGTCGGTCCCCTACTACCGTCTCTTCCCCTACTGCACTCCTTCCCTCCCCCCGCCTCCGCTCTTCCTTGTGCGAGGTCCCCCCCCGGTAGATCCCCTTCCCCGTAAAGGTCCTGCCCCTTCAGGTGTGTCCCAGGTAGACGTAGTCGAGCCGGTCGAGGTTGCTCCGGTACTGCTGCTGGTGCTGAGCCTGGGGGTGCTGCGACAGTGGGTGCTGAGCTTTGGGGTACTCAGCCTGGGGGTACTGAGCTTGGGGGTGCTGAGCTTGGGGGTGCTGAGACTTGGGGTGCTGAGCCTGGGGGTCCTTCGCTTGGGGGTGCTAAGCCTGGGGGTGCTACGTCAGGAGCTGCTGAGCCTAGGGGTGCCACGTCTGGAGCTACTGAGCCTGGGGGTGCGGACCCTGCGGCCGCTGGACCTGCTCATGTGGCGTCTGGCGGTGCTGGGCCTGGAGGTTCTCCGGGTGCTTCGTCTTGACGGGAGCCACTCCCTCCACAGGAGCTGCGCGAGTGGTTTTCCCAGCGCTGGAGGCGTACTGCTTGAGCTAGTGCTTCTTCGGCTGCTCAGGGTGCTCGTGCCGCCGGTCCCAGAGGTGCTCGTCTTGGGAGTGGTTGAGCTGCTGGGCTTGCGAGTGCGACTAGGGGCGGAGCTGTTGAGGGAGATGGCGCTGAGGCTACTGCTGTTAGTTCTGGCGGCGGTCTTGCTGCTCGTGCTACTGGAGGTACCGGAGCTGGAGGTGCAGTTGGCGCTGGTGCTGCCGCTGGGGGTGCTGGTGCTGTCCCTGCTGTGTCGGAAGTCGCCGCGCGGCCTCGGCCGTACTTTGTTCCACTCCTTCGGAAGGTTCTTGGTCTTCCTCCTCCCTTAGAGTGTCCACCGCTTGTCCTCACAGTCACAACTCCCACCGGCCTCCCCATTGCCTGCTCCTTCTCCCTACACTGGTCCTAGTGGAGGTCTTGCTGAGCATCGTGAGCTTGCGTCTCGTCCTGCGTCGCCTCATCGTGCTGCTCGCACTAGTGGTTGCGGTTCGCGTCAACGTCCTCCTGCTGTCCTCGGCACGCACCAGATGTCTTTGCGTCCGTCCACTGCTCCTCTTCGTGCCCCTTTGCCTTCTCCTCCTGAGTCCTCTCTTCCTACACTTGCCGACCCGGAGTCGGACTCTCTTCGTGCTGCCAGTCCTACTGTCATGCATCTTCTTGCTACTGTCATCCCTGACCCCTTCTTTGAGTCCATTGCTGCGTCTGCTCTGGTTGCTGAGCTCGTCGACTTTGCTGCTCGCTGTCGTCTAGACTACACTGCTAGTCTTGTTGCTGAGTCTGCGTCTGTCTGTTCTCCGTCCTTCAGGGGTAAGTGTGCTCTTGGCACGGACGTCCTTGACGATAGGCAAGAGGAGTTCCAGTGTCTGGCTGCTCCTTCACCTCATCTCGTGTCCATACTGCTTACTCCTGAGGGAGACCCGGATGCACTTGACATCCCGACTCCGTGCTCTTACGCGGAGGCCGTAGAGGGTCCCTACTCCTCTTGGTGGGAGGCACCTATGGATGCAGAGATGGCTTCCTGGAAGTCCACAGGCACCTACGTTGACGCGGTTCCCCCACGTGGGGCGAACATCGTCAGTGGCATGTGGATCTTCAGGGTGAAGCGGCCGCCAGGTTCTCCACCTGTCTTCAAGGCGCGGTACGTGGCTCGAGGCTTCAGTCAACGGCAGGGAGTTGACTACTTTCAGACCTTCTTTCCCACCCCGAAGATGACCACTCTTCGGGTGCTACTGCACAAAGCCGCTCAGCGTGACTTTGAGCTTCACTCGCTTGACTTCAGCACTGCTTTCTTGCAGGGTAGCGTGCACGAGGAGATCTGGCTGCCCCATCCACGTGGCTTCACTGGGACTTTTCCTCCTGGCACCCAGTGGAGCCTCCGGCGGCTAGTCTACGGTCTCCGCCAGGCACCGCGTGAGTGGCACGACACACTGAGGACTACGCTTGCGGCT